TAGTAAAAAATGCACAGAGTACAAAGACACATAGTAAAAAATGTTTCTCCTCGCCCTATAATTTGATCGCCTGCTTCCCCTCCCAGAGGAAACTTAAGCTACTCATTTCTTATCGGTCCATTAAGAGGTGTGCTGTTCCACCTCTGACCAGTGTGGCTCAGCTAGTTGGGTGTCATTCTGCAAAGTGAAGGGTTGCCTGTTCAATTTGGGTGGGGTGCGTGCGGGAGGCACCCCATTGGTGTTTCTCTGGCACATTGATATTTCTCTGTCTTCCTCCCTCCCTTCCCCTTTCTGTAAAAGTAAATTTAAAAAATTGTTAAAACGAGAGAGATAGATGCTGTCCTGTGTATAATGTGCACACACACATCCCCATTTAAAAATGAATTTGTACTCATTCCCAGATTCCAACTCAGTAGGTTTGGGACATGAGAATGTTTCTTAAAGCTTCCTAATAATTCTTAATCCTCAGTCATGGTAGAGAACCACCGGATTGAGGGTTTTTTGAAGCAGTGATCCTCAAACTTTAGCAAGCATCTCAGTCTTACTGCAACGCAGCTTGCTGGGTCCTACCTCGGCAGTTGCTGCGTGTTTGAGGCACGGCCTGAGATTTTGCATCTCTAACATTTCGAATCACAAGGTGAACTCCCCTTTATCCAATTCTGGACTGCTCTTAATAAAGAGTAGCTCACATAAAGACAGCTAGCTACTCTTTTTGGTTTGTCCGAAGTGAAATAGCATCTCTCTAAGGTACTACCTACAGATCAGAACACGTGTATTAATGGTGGTAACATCAGATTTAAATGTCATACACTTTGATATATCGATGATAAATGCTTTATACTCTAAGAAGAAAGTTAATTATTGAATACATGAAGGAAAAGAAATGATTCGTACGACCATACTGGTTCACCCTCCACTACCGCTGTGAAGATGTGTAGGTTTGGGCTTTTGACGAGATTCCTGAGTCTCTAAGGCATCTGTTTTTAAAGCTCTACAGGTGATTCAGGTAACGTGCCCCAGCTGAGTACCCTTTACTGGAGCACAGGCAGTCCCACGTCATAATTTTCTCATCTCTAAAGAAGTTGTACCTTTTCCGCGAGGGTGGTTATGAGGATTCCGTGAGGCAATATAAAGCATGTAGAACAGGGCCTGGCATGTGGTAAGTGCTTGGTAAGTATATGATCATTGGTAAACCTGTTATTCTGTATGCAGGCCTCACCAGGAATAAAACGGTTCTCTGCCTTTGAATGTAAGGGTCCCCACGGCAATCTAGGCTAGCCCACCAGCCCACCCTGACTGCCAGTCTCTTTTCTCCAACCTAGATCTCTTAGCCTCCAGATCAACTTATCCTCAGTGTTTTACCCTCCAGCCATGGGGCATCCTACTCCACACATCTAAAGCTGAGCATCTCACCTGCCCGCTCCAGGCTTCCCCTACAGCATTGCATCTTAGAGAATCAGGGTCCCCTGGTCCCCACGAGCCCGAGCCAGAAACCTAGGCAGTGTTTATTTTTAATAAATTTGTTTTGGAGTAAATTTGGTTTCACAGAAAAGTTGCAAAAATTAAACAGAGTTTCCTTGTACCCCCTCACTTAGTTTCCCCTTGTGTTAACATTCTACACAGCCGCAGTGCATTTGTCAACACAGAAACCAACGTCGATCAGGACATGGGTGTTAAACTCCAGCTTTATTCGGCCTTCACTAGCTTTCCCATGAGTGTCCTTTTCTGTTGTTCCAGGATGCAATCCAGCGCACAGCGCTGCAGTTCGCTCTGCATTTTCGATGCCGTCTTTTTCTCCTGCCTTCACATGGTCACCACATTCCAGCAGTTTAACTTTCTAAATCCCTTTTCATAAAAAAATCTTTGTTCCCATTATCCTGATGTATCTCCCGTCACGTCTTGGACTATTTTAATAGCCTCCTAATTTCTCTGCTTGTAGTATCTTTCTTTTCTTGTTCTTTCTCTGTACAAGTTTGATTGTCCTTAAAACTCTCACTTAAAACTTCCTGATGTTGCCCTTGCTGATAGAATAAAGCCCAATTCTTTAGTTTGACAGGCTAAGCGTTTCACAGTCCTCTCCCAACCAACCCCCTCATTTTTTTCCTCTTCCTTACTGTTTGAAACTCTTGGTCCAGCTGAATTTCTACGGCCTCAGCAAGCGTGACTTCACGCCTGTACACCTGCTGTAAGAAGGGTGAGTGTTGTTTCATGGAACTTCCTTCTAGAAGTGGGTGTGTGTGACTGCGTCATGATGCGGTGCACTGATACTTTGTGATCTGTTTTCTTCTACCAACTTTCACTTGTTTAATGCCAGCTATGATGTAAATCGGTTGCCCGGAGTTTGAAAAACACTGGGAGTGCACCGATTCTCTAACACTCCTGGCCACAGACAGAATAGTCTTTCATTTGGTTCCCATCTGCTCTCAGGTTAGTAATACACAGAAAGCAATTTATTCCTCCCAGCCTGGGGGTGAGAGGGAACAGGTTAGGGAGGATGACAGGGAACTTCTAAGTGAGGTGGAAGAGGGCTCCGAAAGAGCTTCTGCTCTGTTGCCAGGTGAGCAACAGTGGCTGAACCTGCTCTGCCCGGTTAGCGCCAAAGCCTGGTTAATGCCTAAAGCTCAGAGTCCTTTCTCTCTCTGTCTGTCTCCTTGTCTAGGCCTTTTGAAGAGCAGCTGTGCCCCAATGGAGAAGGGTGGACATATAGGGACCCTCTCTAGATGTCTGCTGCTCGTTTATGTCCTGGATGTGATGGGAGAATAAGGGCCTGCCTCTCGGCCTCGCCTTCCTGAGGTTTGAGGGAGGCGTGGTTTCCAGTGGCTGCCCTTATCTTCCTTCTCCCGAAGCATCGTGATCCTTTAAAAGAAAACAGGAAAGTCTTTTCTTTAAATGAGTATAAACTCCAAAAATCACGATCCTTACCCAGTCTAAAGACTCCTCATTTAATTCACAGCTACTTGTTTTGCAAAAAAAGGGAGCCATGTAAAACCATGTGTATACACTTTGTTTAATCATCATCTGTATTTCCTTAGGACTAAACCTAGTTAAAGGATAAAACGATTATTTTGCTATGGGGATTTAAAAAAACAAAACAAAACAACTCTTCCTGGAAAGAACCAAATGCTGAGACTTCATTAGAAGTTTCTTCTGCCACTCAGGGTCTCCACACGGTATTGTTGCTTCTGTACAACCTTGACCTTCTGCGGCAGGAGCAGAGCCTTGGGGCCTGACAGGCTGGGAAGACCCACTTCCCCTTCCTGGGCTCTGGCCTGTGAGCCTCCGCAGGGGTCCTTGGGGTTCAATGGAACTGAAGGGACAGTGGCCGATCAGAGGGGTCTGTGTGAGCCCCACTTACACTGTGATTTTGGGCAAGTTGCTCTGAGCTATCATATCCTCTCTAAAGTAGAACCTGGCGAGGACTACGTGGTTAACAGGGAATGTTGTCCACACTGAAAAGCTCATGATAAGCTAGCTTCTTCAGCTTTCTGATGGATTGCATGTAGGGGAAGATTCGGATATGACTTCCCAGTTTCTGGCTTGAGCAACTGGGTCGACGGGGTGCTTTTTACTGAGAAGGCAAGTGTGGAAAAGGTCACAATCTGTGTACTTGAGTCAAGGACTCCACTTCGGACCTAAGGCTGAGGTGCCTGTTAGACAACCCAGAGGAGACAGACAGACAGCTGTGCGTCCAAACCTGGAGTTCAGGGAGGAGGCTCCAAGGAGGCCAATGCTACAGGCCAAGTGGAGAAGGAGCCGACTTGGGCACCTGTGAGATCAGGAAACCAGAGGAACTTGGAAGCCACAGAGGAGTTTCAGAAAAGAGCAAGTGATCAAACAGGTCAAATGCTGTGCCCTGACTAGCGTGGCTTATTTGGCTGGGTGTTGTCCAGCAAAGCGAAAGGTCGCTAGTTCAACTCCCAGTCAGGGCACATGCCTGGGTTGCAGGTTTGGTTTGGGCTTGTACAAGTTTTTTTTTTGGTTTTTCTCTCTCCCTTCTCTTCCTTATCTCTAAAAATTAAAAAAAAAAAAAAATAGGTCAAATGCTGCCAAGTCCAGAAAAAGGGCCTTTGGATTTGACATTGTGGTTATCAAAGACCTTGCTGAGTAGATTTCCATAGACTGGTGGGGATAGAAGCCAGATTGAAGCGGGTTGAAGGGTGAATCGAGGGTGAGGAAGTGCCATTCAGGGCATAACAATCTTTCGAAAACTTCACTGCAAGGGAAATATATGGGGAAAGAATTTATGTTTTGTAAGGTAAGAGATCCTAGAACATGTGCTTTGCAGAATGATTTAATAAATTATTCAGTAAGGGAGGACAGGTTGATGATGCAGAAGATGCCTGAAGACTGAAATCCTCAAGAAGGCAAGAGAGCTGGATTAGCCTTTGCCTTAAACACAAACACACATAGTCACCAGCATTCACACTGACACACACAGACCCACCACCTATGACCGACACATTTACAAGTCTCAGTAATATACGGACAGACCCGGAGTCACTTCACACACACAGAACTAAAGCCACACTGACAAGCTGGATAGACCCACCATCGGTGCCCCCTTAGAGGACCCCCCCAACCTGGACCCCTCTTCCTGAGTCCTAGGGCCTCTTGGGAGGCAAATTCCAACCTGGACTGAAGGACAGGGGAGGGCTTCACATGCAATGGAAAGGAAGCATTCCGAGAATGAGGAAGCATTCTGAGAGTGGGGAGGCACACTGACCAGTAGGGTCAAGAGAAACAACAGCAAATACAAAAGCCCGGTGGCAACTTCAGGGTCCCTGACATATCTTCCCCGCCCCCTGCCCCCTGCCTTCCCTTGGTAGCCCTTTGTGAGCCAAAACACTCTCTGCGCCCTGATCCAGCTGGGCATCTTGGTGTGTGCGCACAAGACAGTGAAACTGGAGTCCTCCGCGCACTGGGGTAAATGAGTTGCACTGGACATTTTTAAACTTTCAGGTTTAATCACAGCACACACACATAAATAGGGCAGACAGGGACAGAGCTGTGTGTGAAGTGCAGCTGTTCTGCCATTTGTGCTTTGCCTTCTTAGCTCCTTGAGGGCCCCTCCTATCCATTTCTTTCCAAAATGGGAGGGGTCCAAAGAGCCCACTGGGGTTTTCCTGCCGGCACCCCTTTTTTGGGGGGCAGCAATTCTGGAATGAAGGGTGCCAAGTCCTCAGGAGCACCTCTGGTTTCCCTCCTGCCTTCGGTAAAACACGGCAAAGCCTTGGACCCTAGGGGCACCCGCCACTGCCCAAGCACCCTAATGGGCAGGGCTCAGCCCTGAGAACCAGGTTCTCCCGAGCCAAGTTCAAGCACTTCTCAGCAATCCAGGGTCAGAAAATTGCAGACAACTGAGCGCTTATCAACGAACCGCCTCAGAGAGGCCACCCTCCACTTTTTCACCCCAGGCCCCCGACTTGGGGGTTTCTGGATGAATGTTCTCTTTCTGGCCTGACTCCAACCCCACCTTTTAATCCTTTCAGGCCCACCCCAGGAGCTAAGGCCTCATTTCAGGGAGCCCCCGAGGGATGGGGCTGGGGAAGCAGCTATTTCCGACGCTTGGCATCCTTCTCCGAAGCCTTGGTGTCGCCATGCCCACTGGCCGCACTGCTTAGAAACATCTTGTCCAGCCCCTTGAGCGACTCCAGCAGGTAGTTCTGGAAGGCAGTGAGGGCGGCACAGATGGCCGGCCCCCCGAAGCCATGGGTGATGAGGCTGAAGTGTGTCAGGCAGCTCTGTACTCCTGGCTCCAGGACGAGTGCCGGGCGGCTGTTGCCCAGTGGCGAGCGATCCTGAGCCATCAAGTCTGCAAATTCCTTGCAGATCTGCCTGGGGAGGGAAAGAGGGTAAGAGGTTAGAGGTCAAAGGTCTGAGCCCAGAGAAGGACCCACCATGGGCTGGGCACTAAACCTGCCAATAGTCTGTAAATGATGATTGTGCCGATTTTACAGAAAAGGAAATGAAGGTTCAGAGACATTAACTGGCTTCTCCCACTTGAGACGCTAGAAAACAGCATATGCCCGTATCCTAGGGGCTCTTCTTGTGGGCATGCTGCCCATATTCAAGGTCTAGCTCTGCCACCCTATCCAGGACACTTCCCTTGACCCCTTGTCCCCATCCTCAACCCCCACTCCAAATACCAGTCTTGTCTTTAAAATTATCAGGGAACGATCAAGAATCTCGAATAACTGAAATGATGGCTTGAACATGAACTGAGGCCCAAATGCTGTGCCAAGTGCACCATCCCACTTAATCCCCACAGCAAACCTACACTGATGTCATCATCCCCACTGTGTGATGTGGAAACTGGTTTCAGGTAGGGCACAGGACCTGCCCCAGTGGCTAAGCTGGGATTTCAGTCCAGCTCTAGTTTGTGGCCATTTTTTCCTATGTTCGTGTATCTTGGTGTGACTCAGGCAGGAGAATAATCACTTAGGTCTCACCTTAGAATCACCGTGGAACACAGTCAGCACCTTAGACATGAGTGGGACCCAGGAAGTGCTGGGTGAGTTAGCCGGTTAATGAGTGAGGCAAGCCTTGCCCTAGATATGTTTCTCCAGCTCCCACATGAACAGCCTCAAAGGTCCCATGAGTCACAAAAGTCCCTTGAGTCTGTGATTCCACTTCTGCTCAGGGCACTTGAGGAAGGCTCACAGAGGGGAGGACGGAGATGGGATGCGAAGGACTGCACTCGATGGGGGTGCTGGATGGGTGTTCTGAGCAGGAGAGCAAGTCCGCGGGCGGGAGAGCAGGAGAGAACAAGGTCAGCTGGAGTGGGTGGGGCTCATGTGGGCTCGACTGTGGGGCCCTCAAAGGAGTTTGAGGTTTGGGGGTTGGAGGTTTGCAATTTTTTTTTACTCCTTTCCTCTCTCTTTCTGTCTTGCTCTGTCTCTTCTTGCAATGGGATTCTTTCTAAAAACTAAAATCTTAATGGAATTCCAGTTCATGCAACAGACCCTGAAGCGTTGTCCCAGAACCTAGTTTGAAAACCAAGGCAGATCTTTGAAGGCTCTGGGGCAGGGGAGCAGCGCCTGCGCAGGGAGCCGGAGGGAACGGGTAAGGTGCTGCAGGGAGGGAGACCAGAGCTGAGGTGGCGGCCTGTGGACGGTGGTGAGGGAGGCACTCATGGGAGTTGCAGAGAGGCTAAGCGTGAAGTAGGGACAATTCGTGATCTACCTGGGGCCTGTGGGGGCACTGGTGCCCTCATGACGTCCCTGGGACAGAAGGCTGATGGGTGAAGCTCAAGCAGAGGGAGCAGACCACAGAACCTCAGCCCCACGATGGGACGAGGGCTGGTGGTGGCACGGGGCAGTATTTGGGGGTGTGGCACAGACCACGTAAGCCTGTCTGTGACACCATTTTTGCTGATTTGTACAACCTGCATATGTTCGTGTTTGTCCGTGTGTGTGCTCTGCAGCGTGCACAGCATTGAGTCCAGGTGTGCTGAGTGTGGTGCGGCTTGTGCCGGTGCTTGGTGTCTGTGTGTTCACCTCCATGTGCCTGCTCATGGCACCCATGACGGCCTCGCGCGGTGCGGGAAGCACCCACACTGCACCCTCACTTACTTGGCGGCCAGCAGCATGCTCTTGCGGCTGTGCAGTTCCCCAGGGTCGGCGTGCTGTCGGCACAGGTACTCGGCAGCTGCCTTGGCTGGGAACTCAGTCTCACAGATGTAGCCGAAGTCTCGGGCCAGATGTATGGCCTCTCCTGGGGGGGGGAGGGGCAGACAGGTGAGCTGTCACTACAGCCATGTGCACCTTGGAGTCTAGAGCCCCACTTTGAACCTCTGACCCCCTGGCCAGGCCCTATTCTGCCTTATCTTGCTTCTATACCTTCCTCTGATTTCCTGCTCCAGCCTCCGTCCCATCACCCTGCCTTTGGGCCACCAGGGATTGGTTCTGAGTTCAGGATGGGAGCCCGAGCTTGAGATGACGGGGCCCAGAGTCACCAACCTCCAGGGAAGGGACTCTAACCCCCTCATCCCCTTACCTCCTTCAAACACAGGCCACTGCCCCCACTGCACATACACCACACACATGTTCTCTGCTGTGTGTGTGCGTGCACATACACACATATCACACACAACACTTAAGCATGACAGAGAGAACAAACAGGTGACTAAATGCACTCTCCTGCATTAGAGGCAGTCACACATAGTCACGCTGGGTGGCACAGGTCTCCTCGAGTCCGCACTGACGCCCACCCTCGGGCCCCACTCACCCTCCACCAGCGAAGTCAGCAGTGTCACGTTGGCAGCCTTGCGACGGCCGGCTGGCAAGTTGAGCCCTATCTTCTCCAGCCGTTCCCGCAGGCACCGGCCTCCATTCTTGGACTTGGCCCTTCACACGCATGGGGAGAGACAGACACACATTATGAAGACGAGAGAGAAGCGTGTAGGCTGAGTGACCTTGCTGCCTCCACCAGCCCCCGCTGAGGCTAGGCTCTGGCCCTGGGCACAGTCTGGGGCCTCTTTCAGCCTGGTCTCAACCTCCTTCTGACCTCATTGGCTTTGTAGCCAAGATGGGGGGCAGGGGGCCCAGCATTCAGCCCCAGCAGCCCCTTGTTGCTCCCTAATCCTCTCAACAGTAGGACCCAAGGTGGGGCAGGACAGGCCTTTCCCCCACCTCAGGCTGCCAGCCAGGCCACACGCAGCTACGCAGGGACACCCAGACTTCATGCAGAGAGACGCCGGGCAAGCAGACACACACAGGTATGTATAGATACACACACAGGTGACCCACACTGCAGACCAAGAATATACACACCTCGTGACAGAGACAAACATACAGAGACACGGAGGCTCACATACCCAGGCACAGGCAGGGACACAGACAAATGTTCACACGTGCAGACGTGCGACTCACACAAGTCCCTCGGGGATGCTCAGAGAGACCAGGAATAAGGAGATGCCCCCACACCCGCACAAACACGGCCTCACACAGAGGCACAGACACTTAAACATACGGGTGTCTAGCCCCAAACGCCCAGGCAACCACACTCACACAGGGTAGAACACACTCCAGCCAACCCATCTCACTAAAAGTAACACAAGAAACATCCATGAAAACATGTCCTCCTGGCCGCCCCCTACACCATACACACACATGCATTTGTGCACGCACACACCTGCACACACTGTCCTCAGACACACCAAAACTCATAGTCCTGAGCACTGATACCCTCTCCAGGCACAGAGAGACACACACAAGTAGAAGGGAACTGTGGAACCCGAAACGCACACACCAGAGAGGCCCATGCTCCACAGGCTTTGGGTCCTGCGGGTCCCTTTCCTGGAGGAGGGGTAAAGATGGCACTCTCTCTTCCCAGACCCAGCCTTGCCCAGTCTGCCCAATGTGGGAGAGCCCTCTAACCCTTGTCTGTGCCCGGCTTCTTCCTCTACACCCCACCCCAAAGCCACAGACGTGTGGCTGCTGCTGGGGGCCTCGGCCTGCCCTCAGAGCAGCACACCCCCCCCAGGGAGACTGAGGCATAGATGGCCCTATGGCTTGGGGTGAGGCGGGCCCCTCCCTGATCCCCTGAGGACGTATGATGAGGATGTATGAAAGGAGCAGGAATTTTGGCCACGACACTGTGCAGGGCATGGTGGGCTGGCCTTCCTACCTGCGAAGGACACCACCCAGCAGTGAGGCGTTGAGGCACTCAGGAGGTGACAGTCGCCGCTGGACCTCCCCCACTGTCACCTTGTACTTGGATGTTGAGCTGAGCAGTGAGAGCCGGCCTGGCACGGAGCAGAAGACCTCACTGGGGTTCGTGATGCCGCCAACCAGGCTGTCTTTGGCCAGTGAGAGGGCAGAGAGGCTGCTGGCTTTGGAGGACATGGGGACTGTGGAGCAGAAGCGAGAGCAAGGGAGAGAGAGACAACACTGAGCCAGGAACCACAGGACACTAGCCAGCTGTGGAGTGGGCACTCTGATGGAGCGCCAGCTGTGCACACACACATGCACACACATCTAAGTGTCCCAGCATCTTTCAGAGGAAGGTTCTACGGAGGAAGAAACAAAGGCACGTTGAGTTAATGTGACTTGCTCCACTTCACTCAACTAATGGGTGGTGCAAACTGAATCCAGAGCTGCCTGGTTCTTGAACCTGTGTTCCCTTCACTAAGCCAGGCCGGATCCCTGGTAAAACTTCAGTAGCTCCAGCAGATCTTGGAGTTTGGGCATTTGCAACCCGACAGGGAGCTGGAAATGAGGAAGTGGAGTCTGAGCCAGAGGCAGGATGCCTGGGTCACTGTGAGGGACCCGGCCACATCTGCACAGTGGCAGGGCGTCCCCAGTTCACCCCTGCCCACTCGTGAGACCCATGTCTTCACCGCCCCCCCAAAGTAGCAAGGGGACAGGGAGGTTACGGCCCCTTAGGCTTCTAGCCCTGGGCTCTTCCAGCCAAATCACACTGGGATGCTTAAGGAGACCGGGAATGAAGAAACACACCCTATTGCTCCCTCCCCCCAAGTGCTAATTATCTGCTAATATCTGTAAAGGGCAGGAAAGGAAATCTGAAAAGCTGATTTTCTAAAACACACTTGGATGCCCTTGGCTGTGAAAGAAGGTTCTTCCTGCAGCTTCAAAGGGAAGGGAGAACAACTGAGGCACTTACTTCCCCTGGGCCAACCTTCTTTCAAAGAAGTGAGAGCCTTGGTGGAGAAGGCAGGGCTTCTGTGCGCAGGCCGCTGGGTGGGGGGTCAAGTGCTGAGCTCAGGGGCCAGCAGTTACTGGGCACCCCCTGCGTGCCCAGTTCTCACACAGACAACCTCACTGCATCCTCCGAACAGCCCCCAAGCAGGCTACGTGTATCATTCCCATTGTACAGATGAGAACACTGAAGCCCAGAGAGGTGTGTTTCTGTATTTCTAAATACTGGCAACTGATTCAAACACTTGAAAATCTAACACAGGCCAAACAGAACCCACATGAAGCGTCACCTGGGATGCGGGGACACCAGCATGAGAGCTTTGAGCCCTAAGCAACAGCTCACTGTCTCGGGGGCCCTTCTCTGCTTCAAGGAGCAGAGCCCCTTCCTCCCAAGCTTCAGTTGGGGCACCATCCCAGTGCAAAGCTTCCTGGGGTCTCCAGCTCTGTTCCCTCTTACCCTAGATCCTTCCTACTTACTGAACCTTCCTGTCTGATTCCAGCTCCATGTTCCTACCAAGTAGGACGCCTGAGAGCAGAGTCTCTGCACGAGTGGCTGACAGTGAATGTGGAGTAAATGAGAGAAGCAGGAGCCTTTGAAACTTGCAATGGGAAAAGGAATGATAGTGGCCCACAGCTGGGATTTGGAAGAGGGGCGCTGAGGGAGCCCCATTCCTCAGCCACCTAATAGCAACACACTGCACGTTTCTTCCTTGGGTGGTGCGCCATTCAGGCACCAGGGAGGGGCCAAAAGGTCATGGATGGGGGGGGTGAGTGAAGCTGAAATCTGGGAGATTGGAGAGAACTAGCAGCACATACCCACCCCACCCCCCAAAACTAGGGTGTGGCAAGCAGGGCACTTGGAAAATTCAAGGAGGCACCAAAACTCTCAGTAATCAAGATAAGTAGTATTCTAATGCAATGACTAAAGTAATAAAGGTTAATGAAAAAGTTTATGATCACAAAATATCAAAATTTTGATTAGACGGGGCTCTGATGCACTGTGGCAGGGCCCTGCTCACTCGCCTGCCCCTCAGCCCAGCCCTGATCTGGAGCGAAGAGCAAGGGTGTCCTGACCGGACAGCCACGGACCCGGACATGCAGTGGGGGCCCTGCCCGCCCCTCACCCTCATGTCCCCGAGGCCTGTACATGGGCCCCCTCTTCACCTGTGTCCCTCTTACTTGAGGGGACTTTTTACAGTGATGGAACTATTCTAGATCTTAATTCTTTTCATGGTTACATGACTTCATAGGTTTACATTTGTCAAAGTTCCTAGAAATGCTCATCGAAAAGGGTAAACTGTACTGTATGTTCATTACACCTCAAGTCCGACTTTCAAAAGTAAAACAACAAATTGATAAATTAAAAATAAGCCCTGACTGGTGTGGCGCAGCAGGTTGAACGTCAGCCTGAGAACGGAGAGGTTGCCGGTTTGGTTCCCAGTCAGGGCACATGCCCGGGTTGCAAGCCAGGTCCCCAGTTTGGGGTGCTTGAGAGGCAACCAATCAATGTTTTTCTCCCTGTCTTTTCCCTCCTTTCTAAAAGAATAAAATCTTTTAAAAAATCAAAAACTTCAAATAAGTCTGTTCTGTCTCCCATGACCCAGCCAGAGGGAGCAGTCAGAGGAACAGAACATTGTCCCGCCCTCCAGCTGCCTCTTTCATCCAACTTCTGGAGAAACCTGGGGCCCTCTGAGGCCAGAGCCCGTGAGAGGGGAGACAGGCCAAGGTTGCACGAGGCCATTGGCTCATGTGCAAACAGGGACATGGCGAGCGTGAGTGTCTCAGAAGTGGCTGTATAAAAAATTATGTTCCCCGTCATAGCTAGAACAGTGAGGGTGAGATCGTGCATGCTCACACGTCCTCACTCAACAGATACTAAAGCCCAGCTCCGCACACAGACATAGTCTCTGCCCTCTTGAATGTGGCGTGCATGTGGGCTTCTGCAAGCTTTTGCTCCTATTGATGTATTTAGTGGATCTTGGATTTATGAAAACATAGGTGCCGCAGGGTGTAGGTGCATGACAGATGGACGTGTGTGTGTGTGTAAAATAATGAATGAGAGGCTTTCCCTACTTGTCCTTTCCTTTCTCCTCAAAGCCTCTTTCTTCAAAAATGGCAAGCGGGGCGGAACCAGCGGAAGGTGAGGGCAGCAGGCAGCCTGGGAAAGGGGCAGGCGTAGAGGTGGGAGTTGAGCTCACAGATGGCGAAGCGGGGACAGCGGTGTTTGTCTCCCACACCACAGTGACTCCTGAGGCTGAGGCGTTCTGCTCATGGTGTTCTCGGTCACGCACGCAGAAGCCATTCCCACTCCTCCAGACTCCTCCAGACGTGAGAGCTCCTAGTTATTCATCCTGTCGGACAAGACTCTCACACACGTCCACACGCTCTAGTCACAGGTGGTTGAGCATGGTCTGATCACGGAATCTGGGGAGCGTGCACCGGACCGTCCCGGAAAAAGCTGGTTAACATAGAAATCCCCTCCAGCGGAAACAGCGGGAAAACCTCTGCGACCCTAGGGCGGGCAGAGAGTTCTAGACACGGTATCAAAAGCATGATCCCCAAAAGAAATAATGATGAGTTGGACTCATCAAATGATAAATTCTTGCAGCTCCAAAGATACTATCAAGAAAATTAAAAGACAAACCACAGACTTGAAGGAAATATCAGCAAATCATATACCTGATCAAGGAGGTGCATCCAGAATATATAAAGAACTCATATAATAAGATAAATAAGCCAATTAGAAACTGGTTAAAATATGTGAATAGATGTTTCACTGGAAATGATACAGGAATGGCCATAAGCACATGAAGAAGTGCCCAACACCTTTAGTCATTCAGGAAATGCAAACTGAAACTATACTGAGATCCTACCAGGATGGCCGTAATAAAAACGAGAGACAAGAATGTCAAGTGCAGGTGAGGATGCGGAGAAACTAGGACCCTTATGCATTGCTAGTGGGAATGTAAAGTGGGACAGCCACTTTAAAAAACCGCTTGGCATTTTATTAAAAAAATCAAACACAAACTTACCATAAAATCCAGCATTTCCACTCCTAGGAATTTACCTAAGAGCAATGAAAACATATGTCCACACAGAGACATGTATGGGAACGATTACCGCAGCATCATTCATAACAGCCAAACAGTGGCAACACCAAGTGTTCACCAACTAATGAATGAATAAACAAAATGTGTTACATCCATGCAATCGAGTAGTTACTCAGCAATTGAAAAAAATAACTACTTTTATATACATGTTACAACACAATGAACCTCAAAACATTATGCTAAGTAAAAAGCTCGATGCAAAAGTCCAAATATTTCCATATCTCATTTATATAACATATCTAAAACACGCAGATTTATAGACAGAAGGCTGATCAGTGGTTGTCTGAGGCTTGGGGTGGGAATGGGGACTAACTAACAAGTGGGAATGAAGGAATTTGGGGGTGGTGGAAATGTCTAAAACTGAATGTGGTTATGATTACACAACTAGACATTTACTAAAAATCATCAACTTATACAGTCTTACAATGGGTGAATTCTAGGCATGAAATTTTTACTTCAATAAACTGGTTAAAAAATGCCAAGTTCCAGGGTGTTCCAGGGATTCTCGTTCAGTAGATGTGGGGTGGTGCCCCGGGAATCTGCATTTTTTAACAAGTGCCCCCAACAGATCCTGACGCAGTGGTTCCTTAGCCCACACTTAGAGAACCGCTGTCCAAAGCCCGAGGCTGAGGGACAGCGGGAGGAAGGCAGACAGGAGGGGCAGTGACCTGCCTCCCAGCCCACCTACCTGCCATTCCTTATCTCCTCCAGTAGTACCTGCTGGTTAAGTTTCCTTCTCCCCAACCAGCTGCCAGAGGGCGCGGCGCCTACCCTGCGCTGCTCTGCTCCACACTGCCCTCCGCCTCCCTCCAGACTTCCTGCACGGGCACTGACTGGTTTGTCCGTCTCTTCGCGGGGCCGACAGTGTCCCGTCTGGGAGGCAAGTGAGGCAGGGATGTGCCCGCGGATGTGCCCGTCTTTATGTAAAGTGCTGATATTTCGTTTATCATGGATTTTTTTGCATTCTTCTTATTTTAAAATATTGCATGAAAATATATTACGCACCTAAATCTTGCCTCAGAGGGATGTACCTCACCCTAGGCCTGGCCCTGCCTGGAGAGTCACTTGGAAGCCCAGACCCTCCGCATCTCCCATTTCCTTCCCCAGAGCCAAGGGGAGCAGAGGAGAGGGTGACTGTTTGCATCAGCCTTTATCTTCCCCAGAGACGTCCTGAGACTGGACAATGGAGCCCAGCAGAGGGGGATTCCCCACCCCCAGCTGGACGACCCTTTCTCCTCTGAGGGAAGGAGGCGTATCTCAGCTCTCATCACCAAGCCGCTCCCCTGCAGCTGTGACTGTATAGCCTGAAAGCCACGGAGACTGTTAATCTTTTTAACCTGTCTGGCTTTCCCACGGACAGGGCATTTGCACATGCTGCGCCTAGTGCAAGTGAAAGCAGCGGGCCTTTTCTACACCCGCTCTCCCCATGCACTCAGACCTCAACAGCCATCCATCATTCACTCAGCAAACACCACTGGTTGCCTGGAGAGCTCCATCCTAACGTCTCCCCCAGGAAGCCTCCCATCCTCAGACGCTCACCACTCTCCCCTTCTGAGCTCCCACTGCGACCTGTCGGGGGCCCTCTCGCTGCCCTTCTCAGCTGGAAAATGTTCCTGCCCCGGTCTGTCTTCCTCACCAGTCCCGTCTGCTTTCTGTGCTCCTACGACAGGTCGAAACACTGGAGGGGAGGGGACAGATGTGGGCAGAAAATGGAAGGGCTCCCGGTTACCCCTCGGGTTGGCCTGGCCCCTATCTGCCATCCTCTAACCCACGCCGTGGCTTAGAGGCTGCCGGCCTGGAGTGTGCGGGGTGGCAGGGAAGCGGGCGCTTCGCCTCCCCTGCTCCCTTCCGCTCCCCTCCAGGACAAGTGTCTGGAGTAGCGAAGATTTTACAACCAACGTCTGGGCCGAGAGAATTTCCGGGCTCTCCTCCCCGGAGGCGCCCCACAGTAGGAAGACCATCGCGCTTCCAGGATGGGGCTGCTTCCCTTTCACACCCTGAACTCCAACAGCCTTCTCTACAGTTGCCCCTCTGCCAGGGCCGGGAGGGGCCGGAGGAGTTGCATGATTCAGCCAGCCGAGAATGACTCGCCAGAAACCCAGGGCCCCGGCCGGAAGGAGGCCCCCCACAGCTGCCGGCAAGTGCAGGAGGACTTCAGGACTTGACAGGGGCTCCCGATGCCGCTGGAAAGGCCCGAGGGATAAGAAGGGCGCGACTTCACGGCCCCCAAGCAGCTGGTGGATGACTGGAGCCCCACAGTGACAGCGGAGAACCCCTGCAAAAACTGCCGCTCGTGCGCAGGGCTCCAGCTGGTCCACCTGTTTAGTCAACGCGACTCCGCTCCTTCGCCCACCAAGCACACCCCCACACCCCGAGATCGGGAGCTCCGGGAACCAGCAGGACCTCTGCCTCTGCAAAGCCTGAATGCACCGGCACCGCTTCTCTCTCCTTAACCAAGGCCCGCTGGGCCAGTATTAGGCCAAGCTCTCCGTTGGGGAACCAGGAGCTTCCTTTCTGCGGGGAGCCCCGTTCTCAGACGTCCAGGGTGGGCTGCCCAGGGGGCAGTGACCAGCTGGGGTCGCCAGCGCCCCACCTCACTGCTGCCGCTTTTGGCTTCGGACCCACCGACACTGCGGTCCAGCAGGCGTGCAGCCTGGCCCTGCAACATCCTGCACTGCACCTGCCACCACATCTGCCCACACACAACACCTCCCGGCCCCGCAGACAGCACAGCAGCACCCCGGGCAGTCCTTGCCACACTTGCTGTGGTCCTGGGACCACCTTGGACCCGGGATTTAGGTAATCCCTTGACAGAAACCAGCTCCGGGGCAATTCCAGTCCTCACCCTGGTCTGGGGGCGGGGGTTACAGACTCAGAGCACCCGCTGATCTTTATACTCTTCTCCAGGGCAGAGGTCTCCAAGCTCCTTCCTATAATACGGGGGGGGGGGGGGGGCTGGCTTCCTCCCAGAGTCAGTGAGCCTAGGTCCCTCAGCCCCTCCCGCAGAGTCAGGACTTGGGGACCGTGACCATGATCGTATCTCCTGGTGGCCTGAGCTCTTCCTTCCAACGGGTTCAAAAAAGTCCACTAAGCCAACACAGTTCCTACCCCAAACAACTGGGTCCCAAGTTCACACCTCCATCCCAATTTCAGGCAGCCGGTTACCCAGGGTTCTCCCAAACCCCAGCTCCAGGTGACACAGCCCCAGATACCTGGAGCCCTCCTCCCCCAAGTTCCAGGAGCCCTGTCCCCTCAGCTTCCCATACACACTTTAGGAGGTCCAGCTAACTTTCAGTCCCTGGTAACTCTTGGAATCCCAGGTCCCACCCCCCACCTCCATCCCCAGCTTCTGCTAGGAATGGCGGTGGAGGGCAAACAGACCTGGGACTGGAATTCACTCTTAAAAAACGACTCAAGTCAAATCGAACGGGAGCAGTCAGTGCCTTTCTCAGGTACCTGGGACTTGTCTGCGACTTCGGATTCCTGCCCCGCATCTGCCCCAGATCTAAGAAGCCAGTCCAAGACCTGGACCCCTCAGAATCTGTCTCTGTCACTCTCTGCCTCTTTCTCACCTTTTCCTGGCACGGCCAGAACTCAGTCTTCAAGCCAGAAAATCCACTTGAGGGCAGGCAGGTCTCAAACCTCCAGCTTTTACTAGTGCAGAAGACACAAACACCCCCAGAAATACACAGGAAGCGACCCTCACATGCTTAGAGACCCTCAGTACCAAAGATCAAGTTTGGGGGCACAACAGAAACCCTGAACCACACATAGAGGCCCCACCCCACCCAAACACAGAGAAATGCACACCAGTACAATAGAAACGCATTACACACAGAGACAGAAACACTCACCCCAAGAAATACCAGAAAGACACCTAGGGAAGGAGTATACACACACACGTACTGGACCCGAACTCACACAGATGCCCAGGAGCAGACAGGCCCTCACCTCCTGCACACACGATATTCACTCCCGAGCTTCCTAAATGCCGAAAGAGGCTCCCGCTTGCAGAGAATATTTCTCAGGAGAATGCAAGATCCCCACCCCCACCCTCAGTCACCTGCCAAGGCCCTGCTGGGAAGGTAGGAGCAGAAAGCACTTGCTGGGCTGGCAACTGGTAGGCGCTGTAATGTGGAAATCATTTAACAAAAGTCCTGGGAATAGCACCCCCATTCTCACCTCTTAGGAAACAGGGAAGTGGTTTAACTCGTTCTGCAAATTAACTCCAGATCCACAAGAGCGCCCTCCCTTCGGGTGGCGGGAGGCCAGGCCCTTGCGCAGCCTGACTGGCCCTGGGAGCCAGCTGAGCCCTGGTGGACTGGGCTCACCCCAGGCCGCAGGCTGTGGGGCCAACTTACCAACCTGCACCGCTGTCCCAGGTCTGGCCAGGTCCCCCATCCTCCACTGTCCCTTTACTGGGCCAGGAAGAGTGAGTGCTCCGTGGCCACAGAGCCCGGTGCCGCGCAGGCGCACTCTCCCTGGGGGAAGAAATTGGGCATGTGCGCCCAGGGCCCGCACCAGCTCTCCCGGTTCTGTCCAGACAGATACACTCCAGTCCTTACCTTTTTTGATCACAGACTGCTCCAGGAGGCTCATTCCCGACTCATCCATGGCCTGCAAATAGGAGATGCGGTGGTAAGGGCGCTTATGGACCTAGCGTCTCGTCGCTCCCCAGACCCCTGCTGTCCCTGGCTCCCATCCTGTCTGCTCCTCCCAGCACGCAACTCGGTTCGTCGCCTGGGGTGGCCACGGGTGGGACCAGTATTCTCCAAGGCTAGGCACCATCTGTGCGGCCTATCTGGGCCACAGGTACCTTACTGTGCCGTAAGGCAATTTTGAACCTTAGGCAACTCCTCTGCCTCTCTTCGCTCCAGGCGCAGGCTTCCCCAGCAGACCGGGACCGGGCATAGGTGCCCCAGGCGACCCAGGCAAGAGAGAGAGAGAGAAGTGGCTCAGACACTTCTCCATTTACTCCGCCGAGGGTTGCCGCCTTCCAGGCACTGCACACAGACTCAGTGCCAGGCCGCCTTAATGGCCAGGCAGCGTCTAACTCAGGCCACGGGATGCACCATCGGAATCATGAAGAAGTGGTAGGCTGGGAGAAAAGTCGGGGTCCTGTCTTTGTCATTCTGCCTCCAGCCAGAGTCCTAAATCATTGCGGTGGGTCCTGGCCCATCCCGGACCGTCCGGGCCTCACCTGCAGGTCCTCCAGACCAGGCGGCGCCGCCAGCCCCGGGAGGCCCAGGGGCGCGTCCGCCAGGCTGTGCGCGCCGTCGGCCAGGCTGTGCAGGAGCCGTGGCACCGCGGCGGCGTAGTCCCGGCGAGGGTCTAGGCCCAGGGCGCGGGCTGGCGGCGCCAGCAAGCCGGGCGGCTCTTCGTGGGCGCGGGCGGCAGCTCGGGGCGCGGCCCAGGCAGCCTGTGGAGGCTGCGGCTGTGCCAGGGGCGCCAGGCCGGCGTACGGGTCGCTGGCCAGGTGGGGAAAGGCGGTGGTGGCGTCGGGCGCCTGGCCGTAGGGCAGTGGCGGCTGTGGGTAGGGCGGAGGGAAGTAGGGCGGCTGGAAATCGCTGGCGGCGGCGGGCGTGTGGCAGAGCTGCTGCGCCGGCCCGTAGGCCGCCGGGGGCAGAGACGACAGGCGGGCCCCTGCAGCCGCCGCGCCCAGCCCGTCGGGGCGCTCCTGGGGGGAGAAGGGCGCGTTAGGCGACCCACCGGCAGCTGAAAAGGAGTCCAGCCCTAGAGGACCTTCCTCCGGGGCAGCTCGCAAGGACCCCGCTGCCGTCCTACCCGCTTCCCGAGGCCAGAGGTTTATCTCCGAGTGACTGGCGGGCGCAGGAGCCTCGGGCTGGGGACCGCGGTCTCCGCGCTCGCCGCTCGAGGCTGGCGGAGTCCCTGCGGCCCACTCCCGCCGGGATTTCGTTGCAGGAGATTTGGAAGGTCCAGCGCTCAGGCTTCCTGCTGTCCCCGCGCCTCCGGACCCGGGGCTACTCACCATGGGGGAGTAGGTGTGCACCAGCATGGGGCGGGCAGCGTGGGGCGCGAGGCGTGGCGGCGGCGGAGCCCTGGCCCGACGGCTAGCGCTGCGGGCAGGCGTGCGGGGCCCTGCCCAGCCCGCGGGGGTCCCTTGACAGCGGGGGTTGTAACCCAGCGCGGAGCCCAGCGGGCGTCGGGTCCTCAAGTGTGGGCGCTCCCGGGAGAGTCCATGGGGGCGGGCCGCGGGCCGGACGGGCTCTGATCGCACTTGGAAAAGTCGGTCAGCGGGTGCCCAGCACCCGCCCTGCTTCCTCTGAGCGCTGTCTGCTCCATGCACTCCAGTTATAGTGGCGGGGGCGCGCCGGGCCTCCGGGGGCGCGCGTTAAAGAGACACGCGGTGGCCGCTCTCTCCCGTCTCACCGGGGCCTGCTCCAGCGGAGGCGCGGCTTCGGCGCCACCCCACGGGGTGGGTAACGGGGCGTGAAGTCAACCCCCGCGGGTCTCCGAGCCGCTGTGAGACAGAGAAGGTTTCGGGGCCGGGACGTAGGGGCCCTAGGTTTGCATCTCGGCTTTACTGCTGTTTGATTTTGGCACCGCTCTTCCTCGACCTCAGCGTCCTTGTCTGCAGAATGGGTATCAGTCTTTTCTCTAACCACCTCGCCGGACTGTGGATGAAGTGGGCGATCGTGATTGTGGAAGAAGTTTTGAGACTCAAGCCCACCGGCCCCTGTGCAGACAGACACATGTCTGTGCGTGTGCGTAGGGGCCCTTCGCAGTCTCTCCGAAGGTTTCCAGATCAAAGCGCCTCCGGGCGCCCGCGTCCCTCCGGCTCCCCTGGAGATGGTAACTCCCAGGGCCAAGCCAGGATCTGTGGAGACACAATCTCACCGGGCAGAGAGAGCAGCCTGGGACCGGGGCTGGGCCTGAGTTCCACCTGAGAAGGGCTCGAGGTGTTTCCGGAGCCGGGAGGGCCTGTCAGGGACCCTGTGTGTCACCGACGCTGTGTGGGCCCCGGGCAGGCTGTGTGTCACCCTGGCAGGCCTGACCGGCTCTCAGGCATGTTCCCGTCTCTGTAGTCACTCATCTTTCTTATTCCCAAACCCCAATCCTGCCCTCCTGAGAGAAACGAGGACAGGGATTAAAGAGAGGAATGCAAAGGGGAATGAGAATGAAGCAAGCATAAGGAAGGTGTTTTATAGTAGAAGTAGTCACAGCAAACAGTTACTACAGATGTGCCAGACTCCATGCTAAGTCCTCGGTGAGTATGGAGCCATTTAGTCCTCACAAAGCCCTGCGAGGTAGACAGCCTCGTCGTCCTCATTCTCAGGTGAAGAAAATGAGGCACACAGAGGAGAGCTAACTTGGTCAAGGTCAAGCAGCAAGGTCCGTGGTAGAGCCAGGGTAGCTGTCTCCAGCCCCTCTCTGTGCTCCTATTCCGTGCTGTGTGAGACTCAGGCGCCTAGAACTGCATCCTGACTCCGACTGGCCTGTGGTGCTGGGCAGATCCCTTCGCCTCTCTGACCTCAGTTTCTGCAGCTTTGATGACAACAAAGTAGGGGACGACAGAGAGGACTAGACATTTTCTTAGGCCCCTTTCTATGAAGTGGAAGGATGAGGATGTAAAGGTGTAATTATCGAGGTAGATTAGAGGAGAAGGGAGGCAGACACCACCAACCCCTGAGATGTACGTGGAGGAGACTTGAGGGGAGTATCCCAGGAGGTACATGTAGGTACAGGGGCCAGATCTGGGTCATCTCAGCCTGGGGGTGCCGTGGGGGAGGAAGAGACTAATAGCAGCCAAAGATCCATCACTGAGAACTCTCCAGAGGTGGGAACCACCAGCTAGAGTGGTGGACGAAGTAGAATCGGGCCATTCTGTGACTTTGGTGCCTAGGACAGATCAGAGGTCAGTGTGTGTGTGTGTGTGTGTGTGTGTGTGTGTGTTTCTGTGTGCATGTGGGTGTGAGTCTTTGGTGAGACCACTTTCACCCCAATCCTCAACTTCAGCAGAGGATGTTAGAAGTCAGGCTCCAGGACAGGTGTGTACGTGTCGTGCATGGCATGCAGGTAGGTGAATCCCTTTGGGACAGTTCCAGCACAGCAAGGCTGGTGATGCCCATGCCCAGCTGTGGGATCCCCTGTGCTCTCCAGAAGTCTTAGGAAGGCCAAAGTGACTGGCCGGGCTGGCTGCCTGCCCAGCGGCTTCCTTGAGTTTCCTCACCCAACTTCCCTACAGCTGAAGACACTCCCTTTTTGCCTTATTCTCCTTTCTGCTCTAGCCATTTCTTAGTCTTCTTTCCTAATTCATCTCTTTTCAGCCACATCTTTAATGTCAGTAATTTATCCTCGGAATTGAAGCGTCTGCCTTTTCTTGCTATCTACAATCTTCATGGGTGAGTTCATCCCCTCTCAAAACTTTAATGACTACCCGTCGGCCGTCGTCTCCCAGTGTGTTATCTCCAGTCTGTATCTCTCACCAGAAATCCGGGCCCACAGATGCAGTTGTTGGTAGGGCATTTCCTCCAGACATCTTGTTGCCGCCATCTGAAACTTGCCAAGTCCGGAACTGAACCCAACACCTCCTCCCCCGACCAACAACCCTTACGTGCTTATCCTCCTGAGTTCCCTCGTTCCATAAACGCCACCTCCATCCTTTAAATTAAACATAGAATCATCCCAGACTCTGACCTCTGCCCCGCCACCTAAGCTACCCTTCATGGCGTGTTGTTATTTCTCAACCGTAAAGGAATCTCTCGATCTCGGTCAGCACCTTAAGCGACCACACTCTTTCTCATAGACTGGTAGTTCTCAAAGTGTGCTCCCTGGACCAGCATCTCCTACATCACCTGGGAATGTGTTAGAAGTGCCAGTTGAGCCCTGGCCGGTGTGGTTCAGTGGACTGAGTTCCAGCCTGCAAAGCAAGGTGTCGCTGGTTTGATTCCCAGTCAGGGCACATGCCTGGGTTGTGGGCCAGGTCCCCATTGGGGGACGTGCACATGAGGCAACCACACACTGATGTTTCTCTCCCTCTCTAAAATTAATTAATTAATTTTTAAAAAAGAAGTGTCAGTTTTTGGATCCCAGCCCAAATGTAACTCTGGGGGTGGGGCCCAGCAATCTGTGTGTCAATAGCCTGTAAGGTGACTCAGAAGCACAGTGTGGCCGGGAACCTCTGCCCAGAGCACTGCAGACCCACTAACTGGTCTCCTGCCTTCATCCGTATCTCTTCTGATCCAATGCCAACTTCATTTAGCAACAGGAGTGACTAGACCATGCAACCTCTGTACTTAAAACTCTGCTGGGGCTCCTCATGGTCCATTGTCAGGGAAAAAACGTTTAAACACTCTAAGCAGCGCTCCAGGTGGCTGCAACTAATTTTCCTTTCCTGCCTCATGAACTACTTCACAAGGTGAAAGGAGAAACAGAAAACATGTCCTGCACTGGGTTGGGTGCATGGCAGGTGCTCAATGAATATTTACTTAAGGAATGACGAAGGAATGAATGGTGAGTTTGTGAATCTCAGCCTATTGAGTGTTCCTGTAGGAAGCTTCCATGCAAGCATGACCCTGGATAGCTAGACATAGAACCCAGCTGTAATCTGAGGAAGCCATCTGATCAATGATTTTGCTTATGGCTACTGGGGAGAGGAATGTTCTCCATTGTCTGCTGCTAATTTGGGGGGCTCCTAAAAACTTAAGGGTCCTATGGCTGCAGACTCTTTCAAGCCAAGGGACTGCTCACTCTCTGAGATACATGCACACGTGTGGAGGCCTGGGATATGCGTGGGGCACCAGGCAGACACCCCAAGGCAGACGGGACACACAACATGCACAGAGACACTCATGGGAAACACACATATGAGAATGCAGGACATACACATATATTGACATATAGCTACACACGTCCAAACATACAGACTCCCATTTTGCATATTTACATTGCTCTTCCCCCAGGTTCAAAATTTTTCCTCTCTTTTAAAACAGTGAGCTTGCATTTGGACATTTATGTAAGGAAAAACTCTGGCTTGCCTCCTTCGCTGTGGACACAGCCACCCTCCTCCCAGCGTTTCATAACGTTCTGCTCTGGGCCTGGCTGAGAGCAAGGGTAGGGGTGGGGGTGGGGGGGGCAATCTGGCACAAAGAGATGCTTAGGCTCCACCTTGTGGTAAAATCTTACAACTGCAGGTTCAGTCTCCTTGAAAGCTGAATTACCAGCTTGGAGAAGTTTCACCTCTCCAAGTTAGCCTAACCCTCTCCGGATTCCACAGCCCAGAATTCTCTGACCGTTCCTCACTAAGGCACAGTGTGCTTTGTATTACAAGGCTGTCTTCAACATTTGGCTCCCCCACTGCATGAGTATAGGGATTGTGAGCGGTTGTCACTTGCTTTGGGTCCCTTCTCTGCTCTTTACACCTCTCCAGATGACCTCAAGGACTCTGAGGACTTACATATCTTGCTCAGTTGGACCTGTCTCAACTCCAGAGTGCAGAAAGCAACTGCCCCGGATGTACCACAAGTAGCACAATTATACCACTTACATTCAGAGCTTATATTGTGCACAGACCTGTTTCCCAGTGTTTGGGACAAGACAATGAATGGTCTTATCCACTCAGTGGCCCAGAGCAGGAATCTGGAAGTCATCCTTGGCTCTCTGCCCCTCTTCACTCCCAGTTAACCACCAAGCCCTATTCTATAATTCCTACCTATGTTTTCTACATCCTCACTGCCACTTAGTTCAGACGTACTGCCTCCTCTCTGAGCTCTGCCTCAGTTGTCCCTCTTGCAGCCAAAATCATCTTGCTTAAATGCAGCTGGGTCACATTCAATCTGCTCAAGTCTGTGGTCTCGCATGATCCCACATCTAAGCTTCTTAGCACAGCACACCAGGGCTTGGAAGAGCTGGCCCACGTCCACTGGTCCAATCTCACCTTCCACACTTCCCACGCACATTTTCCACCATAGCATTAATGACCTACTTGCTGTTCCCAAGCTGCCATGCCTTTGTACCTGCTCTTCCTCTGCTTGTCTACCTGCCAAGCTGGCTTCA